ACGACGCACGAAGCCGTTCGACTGCATCCAAGCGTCGACGCGCGTCGACGCCCGTTTCCATATTTCCATAAAACAAATTTGTACCTTAATAATGGGAAAATAGAGATGAATATACTACAGGCAAAAAACATGACGCGTCGCGACGCTTCGACTCTGCGCCAGTGCGAGTTGAGCCTTAAAGTCGTAGAAAATCATACGACGAAAATTTTCACGAGTTAAATCCATGGTGTAGTAGAAAATAAAATTTCTAAAATGACGCCACAATGTAAAAACAAGTGACAGTCAGATGAAACAAACTGTATTCTACAGCCAAAGAGTTCCATTTTCTAATGTTGCAATTACTTTTTAAATATTGTTTATTTAAGTGGTCAGTTCCGGAAACTTATAGTGCTCCTTATGTATTAGGTTAGTTTTTTACTGTCACTGTGTTGCAAGAGTATCTCTCTGTTGTGGATGGATAATTACACGCTGAGTAGACTTAGTGTTGTGACGGCTCAGAGGTTGCGCTCTGGGCACATTCCTTCAAATAATTCTACACTTTTGATGGGCATTGCGCGAACTCCATATTGTAGTAATTGCGGCGCCATTGAAGACATTTACTACATTTTAAAGGAATGTGTTCGGACCGAGAGACTCACAGTTGGGCAATGTGGCCAGCACAGGACAGACTGGGTGGTGTAACATTATTAGCCGTTCCTTCGTCAAACGAAGCCAAGACGCTGTACAATATATTTAAGTAGTCTTAATCATGGTCAGATTTATAAATTACTTTTCTATAAATTATTTACTATTGTAGTAGTAGAGCTTCTTGTGAAGGGAAGTACTACCACCTTACTTATTTCTTCAAGCAGTAATATATTACTGCGTTCCAGTTTAAAAGGGCAAGGGTGCTGGTGAAATTACAGGCACATGGGATTTGGCAACTTATCGTCTCATGGGGACGGGCACAGGGCACTACTAAGAGAGGCACTGCAAGTGTTATGAATAGGCGTGTCGCTTACCACCAGGCGCACGACTTTGGATTTGAATTCCAAAGGTGATATAATCTTTTAAATTATTATCCACTACTTACAAGAATGGCCACCATTATTGTGTACATTGCTTTATGATGGCTGTGTTATAACTAAGGCGAAGTGCTTACAGCCAAAGATCGATTTTTATTGACAAAGTGGAGGTGAGAGGAATTGTGTTTAAACAACCAATAGAAACTTGTTATTTTGACATCTCCTTTTCGCTTTGTGAAAACAACGAAGTGCTATTGGTTGCTCTTTTCAAGGAACCAAATGAGACGCATAAAGACGGACTAGCTATAATCTTAAAGGCAATTCGCGAGATAAACGACCCATGGTCTTACACTGACATACACAACCTGGAAAATGTGCTGGTAGCCTTTATAGTCATTTAGTAGTAATAGAGCTCCTTGTGAAAGAGTTCGTCCAGAGAAGTACTGCCGCCTTACCTATTTCTGCCGCCAAGCCGTAATGTGTGCATTACTGCGTTCCGGTTTTGAAAGGTAAGGGGTGCTGGTAACTTTACAGTTACATGGTACTGTCAACTTATCTCTCAGGGTGACGGGCGTAGTGGCAGTGCCCCTCAGATCTCTATGATCTAAAGTTCTGAGTGGCACTACAACTGTTACGGACAGGCGTGTCACTTACCACCAGGTGCACGACTTAAATTTTATCTGGTATTGAGAAATTAACGAGACTGGATGTGAACAATATATATACAACTATTGTAAATTTGCGTATGTTGATGTACTTATCGACGGCGATCTATAAAATTAACTTTGATTTCTACTTAGCAATATAATAAAATAAATAAAATGATAAATGTTTTTTGAAATTTTCTAAATTATAATATAATATAATATAATATAACGCACACACTCAACATAGCCCCGCACTAGGGAAACCCTGTGTCGCGGGTGCCATGGACACATACATAGACAACCACAAATTACACCCAAACTCACGAGAGAAATAAATGTAGGCCATACAAATATTTCTCCCGACCCGGGAATCGAACCTGGGACCTCCGCGTGGCAGTCCGGCATGGTAACCGTTCGGCCACAGAGGCAGTTAAAGGCAGAGGTATTATCTATTGAAACTGCACGCATTTGCCGTATGATCACACGCAGCGTTATTACACAAAAGGTACGTATTGATAGCGCACACGACCTTTCCTAATTCAGCGAGTATTCCGGCTATCGGATTTTGGGGTAACTCTCTTGCATCTTTCTCTTCGTCGGCCACCAGTAATGACTTGTCCATGTTCGTTCGTTTCGTAAATATGAAAAATTTGTTTAACAAATCCTAAGTTATAAGTTAAGTCTAAATTACAAACATGAGATCACATTAATTATTATAAATTTTATGTTCAATTCAGAAGCATAAACAACCTTTTATTTTTTTTTTAAACTTGTCATAACATTTATAATGTTTTAATCTTACTAATCAGTTATTCTAATTTTTAAAACAAAAAATAAATAAAGTGGCGCTACCAAATCTTTTGAGTAAGAAACATAATCACGGATCTAAGTTATAATTTAAGTCTAAATTACAAACATGAAAATATCATATTAATTATTATAAATTATAAATTAAATCCAGTAGCAAAAATACCATTTTTCTTATATAGTTATACTAACAAAAAAAAAATTAAGTGTAGCTATTTATTATTATAAACTTGTGTGCGTCAATCCAGTAGCAAAAACAAGCTTTTTTTGGAGCTACTACCAATATTTATAATTTTGTTATCTTACCAATAAGTCATTGCAATTTTTAAATATTGAAGTGTAGGCATTGACCTGAGTGTAGCTATCAAATATTTTTGGTAAGAACCAGAATCATATAACTAAATTATGATTAGAGTCCAAATAACAAACATGAGGTCATATTAATTCTCATATTAATTCTTATTAATTGAAAGTATTTTTTTTAATGACACTAAGTGTGAAAGGAAAAAGTAGTGCTCCTGATGGTAAGCGATGCGCCTGTCCATAACAGTTGCAGTGCCACTCAGAGCTTTCAATTGCAAAGATCACCCATCACCCTGACACATAAGTTCAAAAGTCCCATGTCCTGTAATTTCACCAGCACCCTTAACCTTCAAAACCGGATCGCAGTAATGCTAACATTACTGCTTGGCGACAGAAATAGTTAAGGTTCCCTAGACGAACTCTTTAGTAGGAACTCTACTGCTACTAATTCCAGTAGCAAAAACAACATTTTTTTTTTTTTGGTAATCAATACGTACCAACATTTATAATTTTGTTATCTTAGTACTGGTGCCAAAAAAACAAAATGTTATTTTTGCTACTGCACTTAACTTATAATTAATAATAATTAACGTGATCTCATGTTTACGATTAAATATAAATTACAACTAATAACAGTGTTTCTTTTTCAGTTAAACAATAAACGTTTTTTATTCCGGAACTTATTTTTATTCTCCTAAAGATTATTTTTGGTTTCATAATAAGTAATTGAATAATAATACCACGTAATATGACTCAAATATAACGTCACGAAAAGTAGTATGTTTACATACGACACCTTGTTTAAAATTAAAATTAAAGTTTAAACCACGCATACTGTCGTATTCACAAGTTACGACATTTGCACGGATAACAAAGGGTCGTCGTAACTTTCTGATCGATGTCAATTATTGCGAAATATACCACAGATACTTATACAACAAAATTACAAAGACCCATAATCGTAATATTTGTATGAAACGCATAAACCTAGATCAAAAGTTGAAATGTCTGAAATGTTGCTTTTATGGGTTACGACTATTTCCTTGGGACGCGTCGACATCATTAATTATAGGGTTCAAAATAGTAATAACACTGACATGCTAATAAATAATGCATTAAACCCGCAGTAAACATTTATTAAATACATTTTATATCCATTATATACAATAACATGAGTGAGATAAAAATATACCCCTCATGGAAGAATGGCATAAGTGGAGTTACGTCAAAAACGTTCATAGCTCCATTAGATATAGAAATATATAGGTAACCCACATTACTTGTAGCCCTACAGTACTTGTAGTATGGGTTACCTATACAGGGTGTAAATTTGAGACGGGGCAGTAAGGCCAGCCACCTTAGTCGTTGTAGTTACAGGAAAACGGTTCTAGAAGACTATCCATGAATTTCGAAGATATTTTGATTGGCATTCACAGATTGTGAAAAAATGGTACAGTCAGCAAGATAAAAGGCAATTTTTACAAAACTTTTTTTTATGCCATTCAATCCGGTCTCTATTAAGGATCAATAGTCTCTATGCGACCAACTGAGGTAAGAGTACTCGAAATGTCAGAAATCGCAAAAAACTTTTTACCATACATTTTGTAGGGACATATTTATTATTATTATTATATTATTTACGTATTTCTAATTACTTTCATGTATTGAACTGTATTAAAAATGTTCTCCTCACCTTTTTCTATTTTTCATTTTATGGATATATTAATTGGTTTGTTTTTATTATTTCTTTTGATCTCTTTTGTCGCGCTCAACTTTCACGTTGATAAAATTACTGTTCAGAACTGTCAAAATATTTTAAAATCAATTGTGATCTTGCAGCCTTGTTTGGCACTGTGTTAATGTTTAATCTTTTGCAGTCACTGGTCGCGGCGCTCGCGATGACATAAAAATGTGACGTCACAGTGCTCGTCATGTACCTAGGTATTGTGATAAAAATTTAAAATGCCGGTTTACCGCTCGAATTTGAGGGCTAAATGTGGACATAATAACCCTATCGAGGCGGCATACTACGCGAGCAGATGTCATTATGCAGAAATGGCCTTATTACACCAAAATTGCGAATTATCACATCCAATTTCGTTAATTTGCATCTTTTATACTTACAGTACAGGCAAATTGTCTGGTTTGAACACACCGAGTTTTCTGTGTTAATACAATTTTTCGCCAGTTTGTATATCTCAACGTACTACCGTGGGAAGATGATAAAAGAAATACTCACTTTGTAGCTGCTTTATTTGCGAGTTCGAGTTGAACAAAGGCTGCTTTTAACTGGAGAATCAGAATCATTCGTTTTAAGAGCAAGCGCCAATGGGCCTTAGTTATTTTTATAATCCGTCCTCCTTTTTCTATTCCTAGATGCACGTAAGGGTCTTCACCGGTCTGTAAAACATTTAATAAGGTAAGAAAGAAAGCCTATACTCTAACATCCGAATTTCGTAAAAAAACGATTAGAAGTAGGCGCCTTGTGAAAGAATTCGTCCTATTTCTGTCGCCATGTAGTAATGTAAGCATTGCAGCGTTCTGATTTGAAAGGGTAAGCAAGGGTGCTGGTGAAATTACAAGCACAGCGGACTTGTCAACTTATGTCTCAGAGCGACAGGTGCAGTAGCAGTAGCTCTAAGATCTTTGCGATTCAAAGCTTTAAGTGGCACAGTAACAGTTACGCTCAGGCCACACAGAGGCGGCCGCGGTGCGTTCCGGGCGCGGGATTTTTTGTATAATTCACACTGTACACTTGATAATATGAACCCTGCCACACCTAAACGCATGGCGGCCGCGCGGTAATATTCATTAAAGTTCTATACATAGAACTATGATGAATATTATAAGTCGTGTACAGTATACAAACTAAAAAAATTCAACGTCGTATTTTTGCTAATTAAAATATCAATTAGGACGCTACTCTATTGCTTAAAATTTATGCGGTACTTGGCCAGTTCTATCCTATCTCTTTAGTTTTTTTGTTTTATAGCGTTTATATTTGAGTTTCGTCTAAATATCGCACATGACAACTAATATAGTATTATCTCACAATGGCTTCTTATATTAATATTACGTATTTAGTTTCCTGTTTTGTCCTGTCACTTTGAAATTAAATCGTATATGAATGACACATCAATATAGCGATATTAATTATAAATTTTAGAGATAACGATAAAATATAATATAACGCAATTTTTGAGATAAATCTATGTCAGTTGTCAAATGCGATATATGAAGGGGCATTATGGTGGAATCATCGCCAACTCTAACAAATGGGTTAAAATTAAAAAAAAAATTGCATTTGTTGTCATGGATTATTAGGGAAATGTTTTGTTTCATGGTTTTATTTAATCGTAGAAAAAGTATTGTAGGCAATCATTATATTATTAGGTCTTAAAATCTCGTACATATTACTGGTACAGTCATATACATGAGATACTTGACCCCCTAACGTGCCCAAACCGACGCTTTGGTTCTGAAAGACATCTTGCGTATTGAACAAAGAAAATTAAAGCAATTTCAACTTTATCGTATAAGCAATACAGTGGAGTGTTGCCTGTACAATAGATGATCAACATATTTTTAAAACCAATTCTAAATTTCGTCCTTTAACATCCAACTAAATTGGTCGGGCGCCCTGTTGTATGGACTGCGAGTTACAATACCCGTGGTTCGATTCAACGAGCACTTTTTCGTTTAAACTTTATATTTTTGACGGCATTGTTTCACTTTTTAATGTTAACATTGACAAATCACAATATTTGCTCATTAGAAAGTGCCTATGGTGTTTGGGTAGATATTATTAATAAAGCGTAGGGTGGGTATGGGTAGATTAACAAATCACAAAATCGCTCTGCAGTTTGCATACGATCGTGTCTTCTGTGATTACGCATTGTTTCACGTTTCGTTCCCATTTATCAATTCAGTTTTAATTACTTTCAAAGTTTTCTTTCTTGTTTTAATATGCCGCACTTAACGGAATTATTAAAATTAGAAATTACTGTTCTGTATGAACAAGACTTAGACATTCCTTACACCTATCCGACGTTAAACACAAAAAAAAACAATATTATATAGCTAAATAATATTTTATTTTTAGTGTGACTCGAACCATGCTTGCCTCAAATTGCAAAGCAATCCTTATACCGCTAGGCCTCGACGCCCTTGCTATAGCTGGTTGAAATTTGGATTCTGTATTTAAGTAAGAACTATACGTTAAAGATCAAATTGGCTTAAAACCTTTCTTACAATGTCATTCACTAATGAGACGATCAGGGAGTCATACCAAAATAAATTTTACGGTTCACGGGTTAAAGATTAGGTTTGTTTAACAATTTTCTCCACATTTTTGTGATCAGAACCAAAAGGCCGACAAAGTCGGCTTGGGGGTTCAGTTATCTTGTGTATATAAGACTGCCTCCGTGGCCGAACGGGTTACCATGCCGGACAGCCACGCATAGGTCCCAGGTTCGATTCCCGGGCTGGGACAAATTTTGTATGGCCTACATTTATTTCTCCCGTGAGTTTGGGTGTAATTTGTGGTTGTCTATTGTCTATGGCACCCGCGATACAGGGTTTCCCTAGTGCGGGGCTGTGTTGAGTGTGTGCGTGTGTGCGTTATTATACGACTGTACTCGACTTTATGAACCCTCATTATTGCAACGATTGCATAAAATACTATTTTGATTTAGATCCTGATTATGTTATCGGTGTGTCATAAAATTATTTATCTTAAACGTAGTCTTTCGTTATATCATTGCATTAAACGGAATTAAATTAAAAAATATATATATTATTGCAAAACGTGAAATGTTCCAAGTTTTATCAGATTACCGCTTAAAACATTTATTATCGTCTAAAATAGGAAAAAAGGTATTTTTTGCTCTGTTAACCCCTTTGTTTACATTTCAGATAACGTCGGGTACAGTGCAATTACGCGTAACTAGCATTTGATTATGAGTCTACATTTCGGTAATTTAGTCGCCAAATCATATCCGCGTAAATGTCGTGGCAACCAAATCAGCGTTATTTACGGGAATCTATTGTTATCAGTCCGTAGACAACATATGAAAGTTGTAGCCATTGAAATAAAAAAGTAATAATGTTAAATCCCTCTCCCGTGATATTTGATTTAGTGCAGATACGCGCTTTTTACCAATACTACATACGCGGATTTGTACTATGCCTGATGATATTTAAATATGATTCATATTAGTTATTTTTGATACAAGTGCGGAAAGTTAGTCATTATTCACGAGTCTCGAGGCATCTTCAAGACACGAGACAAGTGAAAATGACAAATCCGCATGTGTATCAAACAACGTTTTTTAATACATTTGCGAAAAACCTACATTGAAAGTAAAATAAAACAGTATTTAAAAAAGTTAATGAAAAAGGCGGGAATGTAAACGATGAAAAAAATTAGTACTTTTTTTGGCCGACTTTTTTCAATATGGCAACTGTTGCCAGTATTCAGCCACATTAAAATTACTATTTTATATTACTTTATTTTCTACATAATCGCTACTAAGGAGCATTTACTTCATAGGTGTAAAAATGCGGTCTCTCCATAGATATAGTATAGTAATGACGAATGACTTACGTCACAAAGCACATAAATATGAAATAAATATACAATCTCTTTAGTTCTATGTTTAAGACTTAAAACAACAGTAAATTAAAAAAAAACTGGAAAGTAAAAAGCAAGTGCGAAAGTGCGAGAAATCCAACTTTCCGCACGATTTGTAGTGCGAAAAATACCACGTTTTGAGCAACTGTATTAAAAAATTTGTTTCTTACTTAATATCACTCCATTATGGAGTAAAAAAAAAAACATTTTTCGTTAGCCGATTTTAATAAAAATCATTATTGAAATTAATTATAATTATTATATCCGAAACTAAAAAAGTAAGAGATTGGTGCCAAATCCCTTTCAAATGTGAAGAAAATAATCCACCTGTAAGGTTGGCAAATTGGGGGACGAATCTTTGTCGAATCTCGCCCACTTGCCATTTCAATAAAACTTGGCAAGTAGAATACTTCAGTAACTTTTCGGTTTATTCAAGTTATAATTTGCATGTTAATAATGTAAATTCTGCTGTAATGTAATTTTGGTGTATTTACAAAAAAAATGTTCAACTTACATCTATAATATCATATTCAAGTATTTTGACACCAGAAATTGATTTCGGGTAAGTTTCTACAGTAACAAATGCCTGAAAATAAGAACAAATATTATAAAATACTTAATAATTACTGTGATTTAGTGGTAGGTAGTTGGATTCATTCTGTATGAAATTTAGTAGCAATAGAGCTTCTTATGGAAGAGCTCGTCCAGGGAAGTACTGCCACCTTACCTATTTCCGCCGCCAAGCAGTAAAGAGAGGAATACTGCTGAAGTTACAGACACACGGTACTTGTCAACTTATGTCTCAGGGTGACAGGCGCAGTGGGTGATGCCCGTCAGATCTTTGCGATTTAAAGCTCTGAGTGGCACTGCAGCTGTTATGGACATGCGTGTAGCTTATCAGGCGCACGCCTTGTTCGTCCTGTCACTTCTTATTATTAAAAAAATTAGCAATTTAATGATATGTGCGAAGTTCATTATGAGAGGAAGTCAGTGCCCAGCAGTGGGACTATATTATACCTTGTTATTACTATTTACTATTAAACATTTCACAATTAGGTAAGAAGCAATGTGTAATAAGCAAACACACTTCTGTGAAAACATCTAAATAAATATATTTAAATTAACCATTATAATTAACTTATTTAGGTAATATATTTTATACACGACACGTATAGCCTTCGTGGCGCAATTGGTTAGCGCGTTCGGCTGTTAACCGAAAGGTTGGTGGTTCGATTCCACCCGGAGGCGACAATTTTTTTGACCCTTCTTTATAGAAAACAGCAGTTCTTCTTTTTATCGTGTTGATGCTTTGCCATTTTAGAACCAGTACAGGAATATTTAAAAATTCTAGCAGCCTCAAAGGACTACATATTAGTAACCGATAGATGCACATCGCGTCCGAACGGGTAGTCAGGAAATGTTCGGGGAAGGCCTATGTTCAACAGTGGACATCTTCCGGCTGATATGACTAGCAGTCTCAAAGAACTACGTATTATTATTACTAACATCATAAACAATAGCTTTTGTTCCATGACTTTTTACAAAATTTAATCAATTCACCAAAAACAAACCTTTGTAAGAAAAAAAACAATGGAAGTGCAATTAACTTATTGCCTCGAGCACTATTACAACCTATGTCGTCAAAACTCACACATAATTTGAAACACTACAAAATCTTGATATTGATTTGTCGTAGTTTCAAAAAAAAAGAAATAACAAAATTCTTGATTGTTAAAATAATTTAAACATTTAAACACAAACACAACCCTATTGGCACATCGTTGACAGTTCAATACCACCAATACCTTTAGACGACCATATTGTAGGGGTATACGGTATACACTTGCTTTACGGTATATGACCACCACCGGTAGTATTTTCACGTACGGCTATCAGTTTTGCACTCCAAAACAGCACAATCAGTCATTTTTCTAGGATTTTAGAGAATTTGCACGATAGAATGACAGAACCATACCATACAAAGCCAAAAAGGCGGACCGAACTCATATAGGTCTTTCGAGACCAATAGTTGGCAGGTGTCCGACGATAACTACCCACTTCTAAGTATTCATTGTTCTGTATCTCTGAAGGTATTGAAAACTCTCACGAAGACAGCTAGGGGAAGTGGGATGGAAAAAAAAATTATGAAGTGTAATTTTGCTTACCTATGAAATACAGATAGTTTTGAATTGCTTACCTGCACAGGAAATTTTAACCTTTAAATTCAATTTCTGTTTAAAATTAAACTCGGTGGATGACAGTTCAAAGTGACCTTCTTAAATTCTATTTGAACTTGCAATGGAACATACACGCATAAACATCGAGTGTATAACCAGAAATAGAGATGAAATGTCATTTCATTTGTTTGAAAACTATTCTGCCAAATCGTTACAGTGACAACTGCGCTCTGAAAAAATTACGGGTTTCGTCAATAGTTTCACTTAAAATCGACCTGTTTAACTTGAGATTTGCTATAATGGACGAAAATTAAAAAATTACATATTTAATTTTTAATTACCGATGAAATGTGATTTCGTTTGTTCTGTAATTAGATGTTTTGCTGTTTTCACACCACCGAATGGAACAGCCCCCTTTGGTAGAGATATTATCTTTATTACAATAAATACAGAATATTTTTGGAATATACGGAGACGTACACGCAGGGCAGTTGTTGGCGCTGTACTATTTCACTTTTCTAATTTGTGATTTCAGCGCAAACGAGAGTTGATATTTACAAGTGATATAGGGCCCATTTACCTGATGAATTACCAGGGTTGGATGGCCCTTATTTCGTCTCTATTTCTGGTTATATACTCGATGCGCATAAACCACTGTTTTACTGTACAAAGGCAGACAAGATTACAAAAATATAGTTACAAAGTCAATACCAGGTTTTTTTATGCCAGAATTCATATTACTTGTACTCAAACCATAAATACAGGCGGCAAATAGGTGAGGTGGCAGTACTTCCCTGGACAAAGCGGGCACACGTACATTACCCTCCCTATTTTCCAGATAGGTACCGGAGCTGTAGGCACGCTCACTTCCCGTTGTGCATTGCGCAACTAGGCCGCTACGTAAGCCCCCTCCACATTCTTTCCAAAACTTCACGAGAACAGCCAAATACGAGATTGTAGTGACCATATCCGTCAAGTCGTCGTCGTGTCGGTATTTCGGACCCTAATAAAAGGACTCTCGTGTAGTTTTGTGTTTGCGCGAGATCCTTCCCTCCACATTCCCGTCACAGCAGCCCGCCGGCAGTAACCGCAGTGTTCTGTTGCGATGTATTGATGTCATCCACCATCTGCGTCTATTCCAACGTCTCCTAATAAGTTTTTTTTCTCGAATTAACAAAAAATTGTAACATGCTATAGCACATAATGCTGCAGCAACAGACGTATCTCGTCACACGTCATGTCCATCTTGTATGACAACACGTCCATCTTGTATGACTACCGAACGGACAACTGTGCGGGCGAGAATGTGGAGAGTCACTCTCGGTCTCGTCCTGTCTCGGCGAGACCCGAGACCGGGATGTCTCGACGAGAATGTAGAGTGCACTTAAGACGCGCTAGTTGCGCACGAGACAGAAGCCCCGGCCACACACCTCCGGAGCAGACGAACATGTCCGTCTCTGCAGCTCACCACAAACTCCAGCGAATCCATACCCAAGCCCGGGTCCACCAGAGACGCCAGCGAGGTCGTATCACTGGCGGAGAGCTTGGCCCGTACGCTTACTGTACCCTCGTCTTGTCGGCGAGCCCATAGTCTCTCCGGAATACCCTATCTCTCGGGTCGGTAGATAGGGACTCACGTGCGCACAGTCCCATATCTTTCGACATAAGTTTTGTTTATAGTGTTCCTTTCTATCAACCTCTTGGTAAACTCTTGGTTATGCGGGCAAGCCCGCACAGGGACCTTCTAAGTCAGGTCCTAACCCCGGATTAGCACGTTTCCATGTAATCATCCGGTTCTCTATAAGGCTTGCTAGTACCTTAGGTGAGCCGCCCCGGGTGCACGTACAGCACCCTCCCTACTTTCCAGACAGGTACCGTAGCTGTAGGCACATTCACCCGTCACGCTCCGTACGACTAGCGGTTGCCATCGCTACGCCGCCGAATCTAAGTACGGACAGTCAAACCGGTTTAAGGACTAACCACACACATCAGGTCCATGACCGGTAGGTGGACCCGTGCTCGTTTTTACGTGAGACGCACTATAAGTTTCCGGAATGAATGAGAAAAAATACTATAAATGGTCAGAAATGAATTTAATATTTCTCTAAATATATTCTCCGTTAGCGTTAATGCACTTTTTCATATGAATGAACCACTTGAAAACATTTATGCCACTCCTCCGTGACAATCTTCGAAACATATTTTCCATATTCTTCGACAGCCTCTTCATATGATGAAAATCGTTGACCGCGTAACTGGTTCTTAATTTTTGGAAATAAATAAAAGTCACAAGCCATAGCGGGACTGTACGCGGGATGGCTCATAAGGTCAACGTTGTTCACCTTCAAAAATTCATTTGTTGTTCTAGCCCTGTGAGAACTGGCATATCGTGGTGCAAGATGATACGGCGTCAATAACTTTCGGCAAACAAATCGTCGTGTACCAATCACTATTCACTGTACAACGATTCTCCAAAGCAAAAGTAGCCACGTCCAGTTTTATTTAAAAAAGAAGCAATCATCCGCTTAGAGGCACTTTGCACTCGCGCCACTTTGGTTGGTTTCGGCTCACCTCGAAAGACCCATACGCTCGATTGCTGCTTTGTTTTGGGACCGTAACTATTAATCCATGTTTCGTCACCTGTTACTATGTCCCACACCAAATTTGCCTTCGTTGAATCTGGTAACCATGATATTGCATCTATTGACGCGATCCGTATTTAGAGCCTCAGTCAAATTGTGTGGGATTCACCGAGAGAGAGCACTGCTTTTTCACACCTAAATGTTTGTGTAGTATTGATTGTATTTGACTCATGCCTATGCCTAAAGATGCCTGAATCCCATGGTATGCACATGCCTGTCTGTTTTGATCATACGGCGCACAGCTTCGATGTTTTTGTTGTTCACAGCAATGGACGGGCGACAATCACGAAATTCGTCACTGAGATTCACACGACAGACGACGATATAAATAGTCGTTTTGCATGGTGCTTCATCGCCATAAGCAGTTTGAAGCCGAGCGAAGCTCCGTTGAGCTGTTGAATTACACTTAAAGTTGTAGAAAATCATACTACGCTAATTTCTAAAATGACGCCCCAATGTAAAAACAATTGACAGTCAGATTAAACAAACTGTATTCTACAGCCAAAGAGTTCCATTTCCAAATGCTGTAATTATTTTTTAAATATTGTTTATGTAAGTGCTCAGTTCCGGAAACTTATAGTGCACCCTATATAATGAACGCCATCTACGTTCATATAAACAAACATATCACTATCACGTCCTTCTCCTTTTCAATTCTTTCACGAAGAGCTCTACTGCTACTTAACTGGACTGTCCTTACCAAAACCATTGGGTGCAATATGTGCGTAGGGTATTAAACCATTAGGTTTAGCCGTGGCATTTTATCTATCTAACATTAGGTTTTTTTATATCGTGTTGTCCTAACTTTAATATTATAGGGAAAAAAATGTGTATTAGTTTATATTATATATTGGTAAATAACAATTTTTCACTAATTAACTCAATTCTCTTTTGTAATAAAATCTTCATAAATGTACTTGTGATGAGTGTTTAGGCCTGCCCCAACGATCTCCACGACGATCGGTCCTGCCCGCATCCATCGGGTTCTTGCGACCTTTACCGGAACATCGTCCGGTGCGCGGTCGCCATTGAAGAACCTTTCCGCCCCAACGGCCATCGGTTCTCCTTGCTATGTGCCCCGCCCACTGCCACTTCAGTTGAGTAATTCTTCGAGCTATGTCAGTTGCCTTAGATCTCCTACGGATTACCCCATTTCTGATTCTATCACTTAGGGAAATACCGAGCATTACTCTCTCCGTTGAGTGACCTTGAGCCTTCTTATTAGGCCCATAGTGAGGGATACATTTCTGTTCCACATGTGATCACTGGCAATACACACTGGTCAAAGACTTTCATCTTGAGACACTGAGGTAATCTGGACGCAAAGATTTTTTGTAGTTTCCCGAACGCTGCCCATCCGAGCTGGATTCGACGAGAGATCTCTTTCTCAAAGTTGGACTTACCTAACTAGACTGTCTGCCCCAGGTATACGTAATGGTCGACAACTTCGAGTGTAATGCTCCCAATTTTAACTGGAGCAGATACAACATGGAGATTTGACATGATCTTCGTCTTGTCCATGTTCATCTTAAGACCCACTCTTTGGGAAACACTACCGATCTTCAAGCATTGTATTCAGGTCTCAGCCTTATGAACTATATCATCGGCAAATCGAAGGTGTGTTAGATACTCGCCATTGATGTTGAATCCAAGTCCTTTCCAGTCCAGAAGCTTGAAAATATCCTCCAACGCAGCAGTGAACAGTTTCGGAGATATCACATCTCCCTGTCTCACGCCTCGTTGCAGTTGGATAGGATTAGAGGTCTGATCCTGTAATCGGACTGACATAGTGGCGTTTTTGTATAAGTACCTTAACACCTCGATATCCCTTTAGTCTACTTGGCACCTATGTAATTTTAACATCTACTGTTTAGTTAATTAATTAATTTAGGTACTTTAATTTAAATGCAATGCGTTATAGCCTTCGTGGCGCAATTGATTAGCGCGATCGGCTGTTAACCCAAAGGTTGGTGGTTCGATTACACCCGGAGGTGGCAAATTTTTTTTCCACTTTTAATATAAAAACAAAGTAGTTTTAACATATATGAGTGGCAATGTACTAAATCTATAGGATATGTTAACAGCTCAGTGGTCAGATTTTAGCTGTTATGTAGTTACCATATGTCTCGCTTTGAGCAGGACAATCTTGCTTTTAAGCTTCGTGTTCCACTGTCCCCAAATTCAAACAAAAACAGGACACACAAATTTTTGACACATTTTTAGGTTTTTTTTTTATCAATAAACATTTCACAATTATCATAAACACGTGTTTTATTTGTAAAACAATAATTTTACAGGCGTACCGCTCGAGGCAAAAAAATATGGTCACGTTAGTTATACCACACAGTGCTTGCAGTCGAGAAGCCAATTGTAACGAACTACTCATAAGAAGCTTCTACTCAGTAATGGTTGTTGATGGATAATACAATATTTGGAAACAAAAATACAACTAAAAAGATAAAATTTCAAATTTTACAAAATTTGATCGTAAAATTGCTATTTCATTATTGAAACTTAATATCAACTGAAAAGATAAACAAAGAAACTAAAATCATGAACATTAAACAATTATGCCATCACATCCCATGCATTCAATTCGTCAAGAAAAGACAATCTCATAAGTACAATATCAGCCGCAGAGCCAGTAATCTAATTCAGCCCATGATCAGAACTAACTGCGGCAAGAGGTCGATAAGTTTTGAGGGAGTGCAAATAACAAACTGCCAATCAAAATTGTTTAAACATATTGTTCACGACTATTCACTACTGAAATAAAGATTTAATTTGTATAATAATAACGTAAATTTGTTAACAGTTGAACTCTCAACTTGTGTTTGTATCAAATAATAATATTTCACTGTTTAGTTTGTACCGTGGCTTGGACTGGAATATAGTTAATATGCAGATTAATTTTTAAGTTCTCATGTAAGTGATAAATGTCTTGATGAGAATAAAGTAAAAATATTAATACAAGTAAACAAATAAAAAATAATAAAAATATTACCGCCCCCGGGTGGAATCGAACCACCAACCTTTCGGTTAACAGCCGAACGCGCTAACCAATTGCGCCACGGAGGCTATACGTGTCGTGTATAAAAATGTATGTTTGTTAATTACTTAATTAACTACGTCATTAGTCAATTACGTAATTAGTTAAATTAGCTACGCAATTAAGTAATTTATTAAAATGTATTTACTCAGATGTTCTAGATATCAAAGCGAATAGTCAATTCTATTTAAACTGACCTAAATATTGTAGTTTTTTGGTAGGTATGTTCCACTGATGATAAGAATTTGATATTGTTCAAATGCAAAACTACTGCCGGTATACAACTCAGAATGGCTTGGCGTTTGTGTATATATTTATATTATTTGTAGTCAACAATAAATAGCAATGTATCCAGAGCAGAAACATTTAAGTAAACATACACACACAATTGATCGTTAAATTAATTGATGATTTAGGTACTTTATTTTAAAAGCGACACGTATAGCCTTCGTGGCGCAATTGGTTAGCGCGTTCGGCTGTTAACCGAAAGGTTGGTGGTTCGATTCCACCCGGAGGCGACAATT